GTGTCAAGTTACTCCAGGTAAGGTGTGATTCCTTATTAATAGTTAACCAGGCTAATGGTGTTTATGCAGCAAAGGATCCCAAGATGACGTCCTACCTGCAAATCGTCACGGAGTTGATGGCATGGTTCGACGAGATCACACTTGAACAAGTACCAAGAGAAGAGAACACACAGGCAGACGCTTTGGCCGCAATTGGGTCATGTCTGGGGGCAGAGGTCAATAGTAACATCCCTTTCGTCCACTTGACAAGTCCGGCAATTGACAGGTTGGAGTCCGTCAGCACAATCAATCCGCCCTCACAAGATGACTGGATGCAGCCATACATAGCATACCTGAGACATAACGTCTTGCCATTAGACAAAAAGGAAGCTAAGGCATTCCTCTCCAAGGTAACCAAATTCTTATTAATCGATGATGTATTGTTTAAAAGATCTAAAGCAGGTCCATACCAAAGATGTTTAGCACCTCAAGAAGCCATGAGGGTGCTCAAAGATCTTCATGAAGACGAGTGTGGAAACCATGCTGCGGGGAGGAGTTTGTCTAACAAGGCCCTCCGATTTGGATACTACTGGCCAACCATGCGGCATGACGCAATCACCTTCACCCAAAGTTGTCAGGCTTGTCAAAAGCACGGTCTGATCCGTCATCAGCCATCAGAGTCACTTCATCCGATCCTCTCACCCTGGCCTTTTATGAAATGGGGAATGGACATCGTGGGAAAGCTGCCCGAAGCTCCAGGACAGAATGTCTACATGTTGGCAATAACGAACTATTTCTCAAAATGGGTGGAAGCTGAGCCATTCCGTCAGGTACGTGATGAACAGGTAATATCTTTTATCAGACGTAATATACTTTGCAGGTTTGGCATTCCGTCGGAGATCGTTTGTGATAATGGATCCCAGTTCATAAGTGCAAAAACCCGACGCTTCTGCGAAAGGTACAACATCAGGTTGGAAACGTCAACTCCTAGGTACCCGCAATCCAATGGACAAGCCTAGTCTAGCAACAAAATCATTGTGTCCAATTTGAAGAAAAGACTTGAGAAAGCACAAGGCAGATGGGCTGACGAGTTACCCCTGATATTGTGAGCTGACAGGACGACTCTTCTGCTGCCTTGTAAGATGAACGGCCGACGAGCCTTAGCAAGTGTATTGTATTAGGGAGTTATTAACTGAATAATAATACCTAATCTCTTACTTGATACATATTGTTTCTTGATCCATCTTACTTGTTGGGTTAGTTCATTCACATACACACTCCACTCGAAACTCTTGGGTTTGCGTGTTGGACCCGAGGGTTGAAGGAATAAACCTCAACACATACAAATATAAGTAATACTCCCCCATCCTATTAAGATTGTCTCAGATACTATTCACTTGATCAACACAAATCACTCTTGATCTCTTACTTCATATATCAAATTTTTATGAAATTTGATTCAGGTTTTTGCAACTTTGTAAAGCTTTTAATATAGTTTCTAAATATGTAATTTATTTTCTAAAAATAATTTGAGAGCGGAGGGCAAAGCCGCCGCTAGGTAATTCCGATTTCGATCTTTCTTGATCGAAGTTCGGTCAGTGTTTCCCTAGCGAGATCTCTCGCGTAGGGTTTTTCTTCGTCGCTCTGGTGCGGCGTTTTTCTTTCAATCGACGCAGCTCTGCGCCGGATTGCCGTGGTTTGGACGTAGTTCGGGATGGATGATCGTGGCAGCGAGAAGATGGTGAAAGAAGCGAGAGAGAGACGTAGGGATGATCAGGACATGGTTAGCGTGGAGAGGCTGAACGCTACATTCGATGGCATGGATTTGGGTCTTACGGCGGGTACGCCACTGAAAGAGGGTATCAATCGAGCGACGGTCCGACCTCCCCCTGAACCACCACCATGGGTTGTACGAGGTGCTAGAGTCCGTGAAAGTTTTCCTAGTAATTTTTATCTGTTTGTCATTTGTTTTCTTGTGTTCATCTTTGTTGTTTGTTTTGACAATTTGTTTGAGTTTTTAGCATCATTTATGTCATTGGGTATGGTTGGATCTATGGGAACAGGTTTGGCTGTGTCAAGCCCACTACATGGTTAGCGATTCGTGTTGCTCTTTCAGGGTTGACCGTCTCAAAGTCTCATCATAGGGTTACAGTCGTAGTTGTTGGAGTTTTAGTTGGTGTCAGTTTTATTTTCCCTTTGTTTGATGTAATGATCCTGAATCTTTTGATATGAATAGAGGCATGTTTTGATGATAAAAATAATAATAGTAATTTGAGGGCGGACATGGATCTGTTTGCTTTATTGTCGGTCAAACATCTTAAATGTCACGCCCCAGACCGCATCTGAGCGCGTGTACAACCGCCGTATGACTAAATGACGTCACCCGCGAGTCAACGTAACTTAGTCAAACAAGGCGTCCATGAACATAGTCCATACCATACTCAGTAAGTAAACATACATAACAACATCACATATTAGGATTGAACGAATAGCGGAAATATTCAATATTCAATCGTGGGCCACATATGGCCAAAACGTAGGCACGCAGGCCCAAAACTAATGTATTTATCACAAAGTATCCATGAGCATAGTTTATAGTTTGAAAACAATAAAGGAAGCACGAACCACGTCTCCCTTTGGATCACTTTACCGAGCAAGGTGAGAATAGCAACTTGAGCTTCAACCTGAAATGGTGGGGGGCCCCGAAGGGGTCAGTACAAGTACCGAGCGAGTAGCAAGCTAAATGTAGAATAACTAACGTTTTAAGTATAAGACCCAAACATAGGGTGATACATATACGTATAGTCCTTCCCCCAAGTTTTGAAATACATATTAGTATATATACACTTGGAAATACCCGACCCGTAGGTCATTGTTTATTTGGGAAAATAATAGAAGCCAATGTCCTTGACTTAACTCCCAACCCACCCATATACCTATGAGTGTATAGAACTCCTCCTTGTTCAAGTAAATTACCATAGGGACACCACCCGGTCCTAGATTATTAAATGTAATCTTTGAGTTTTGAGGATACACGCCCGATCCTTGGGTACTCCACACTATAACCGAGTTTTGAGGATAACCGCCCGATCCTTGGGTACTCCACCCTATATAACCGAGTTTTGAGGATAACCGCCCGATCCTTGGGTACTCCACCCTATATAACCGAGTTTTGAGGATAACCGCCCGATCCTTGGGTACTCCACCCTATAACTGAGTTTTGAGGATAACCGCCCGATCCCTGGGTACTCCACCCGACCTATGACTTACCACATATCACACTAGATAGGGTCTATATCATATCTTACTAAAGGCTAAACCAAGTCTTAGAATTTAAATCAATAGATACCAAACCTTGACATTTAAATATCATATTCCATGCAATTCCATGCATAATATACTTATATAGGATGGCCGGGGTTAATCCCCCCTTCGAACCGGACCCCGAACCGCGTTTTCGGCGAAAATGGATTCTGGAGGCAGCAGCTTAACCGGCACCGGTTATGCCCTATAACCGGCGCCGGTTATGTCCGGGAATTTGGGTCAACGGCCCGTTGACCCCCGAGTTGAACCCCGAAACGTGCTCCGCTTGGCCCGAAATTTTTATACAACATATATCATGTCTAAAACAACAAATAAATGCCATTTTGGTCATCCAAAACATCACAAATGTTTTTATACATTTTTCATACTTTTCACATGCATAATCATGTAGTTTCATTCACATAAGCCTAATTTCCTTGGCTAATTACATGTTTAAACTCCCTTAAACATCATTATGAATACTTATAACATTTATTTAGGTAATCTCATACTTAACCCAAGAGTTATAAGACATTAAGCCGTCCACTCACCTCGAATGAGCGTTATGAAGTTCTACCCTTCTCGGTTGAACTCCGGCGAACTTTGACGGATTCCAGCGATAACTCCGGCGACCCTTTCAACTTCGTGAAAGCTCTTAAATCACCCTTGACAAGTGCCTAACAAGGTTTTATCATCACAAAACCCATATCAAAACAAATAACCTCTAAAAGGTTATTTTCCGGTGAACCGGTCTCTTTGGCTTCTAAGTCCGTTCTTGGACTTAGAACCACCTTTCAACCCATTGTTCTACACTTATAACCATGTATAACAATCTTAAGGGTACTTCATATGATATATAAGTCATATGAAAATCAAAAGATGTAAGAAAAGTTATTATGGAGTTACTCACCTTTATTCTTAAGGTTTTTTCTCTACTTTTGCAACTTCCTCTTCTTCCTTGAGCTTCTTGTTTTCTTGAGCTCTCTTGGCTATGGAGAAATGGGTTTGCAGGGCTTCTTTCCTTCCTTCTTGGTCCTTGGGTCGTGCATAATGGAGGGGAGGGGATGGGAAGACTAGTTTTGTCTTCAATGAACCAATGAGTGTGGGATGGGAGCCCACCTCATGTCATCCACACACCAACCATCACCCTCATGCACTCCACACCACATCTCTATGTTGTGCAGCACCCCTTTTGTCAACTTAAGCTCAAAAAAAACGTGGGGTGGCCCCCACTCATGTGGGAGGTCATCCCATCTTGTCCCGAAGTGTATATTCGGCCCCGAAAGTTGTATTTCTCGGACTGTTTTAAATATATTTTATTTGATCGGGTCAAATAAAGTATATTATGTGTTTTCAATCATTATGACCCTCATAATGAATATGCATTCCCCAACTTTAATTTATAAGCCCCCAAAATTCATTTCGGACTGTTATATGTTAAATTACCAATACCGGTAATTGGGCCCTATTTGCCAAACTGGTCAACCCAATGCCTTTATCATGGCCCATTATGAATGTCCACCACCATGTAACTATTATCTAGACCAAGATGAATATAACATGTGGTCTCGTGTTATCGGGTTACCCCCGCTCCGAGTGTGGGCCCCACGTGGAATTTACTATTCACGCAAAAGAAATAACAAAAATTTACAACCTCGTAAATTCATTACTCAATACACCATATTCAATACATAATTTACATAATGGTAAATATATTTGGGGACGGTGTTACATTAAACCGAATTGTCCCAATCTTAGTGGGACGCAAGGAGTAGTTATTACAATGTAGTGTTATAGTAACTTACGTTTAAAAATTGAACATAAATTATTTTGATTCCTTACTACTCTAATCACTAGTCACTTTTATATAAACAATCTTTATTTTAATCGTATATGTGTACTTATTTCGTTTTCTATGTAAAATATAAATAAAATGATTAGAAATACCAGTAAACTATAAAAAGTGACTAAGTAATGAAATAATGATTATACAAAAAGAGTAGCATCTTAATCATTTGAGGAAGCGGTCATGCCCAGCTAGTTGATCGCCAACTCCCTTTTCCTTTCGTGAGGTCTCGGGTTCGAAACTCAATGAAGTAAGTTTCAGCTCTGATTAGTCCAGGCCCCCCTGCCCCAGACGCCCCTGAAGTAAAAAAAAAATGTTCCTCATTTACCTCTTTTTCATGCGCAACATTTTAATTAGGCACTTGTACATGAAAATTGTTTTATTTCATTTTTATTAGGAAAATAGTATCTTAAGAGTATATTTTATTACTTTGAAAACTCAAAGGAACATTCTTAAGAGTGGCTGTCATCCGAAAAAAATAGTGGCTAACTCTGTTACGTTAGTCCTCCGTAAACGAGGGGTAATTGCCCTCCTTTGAGGGATTTTAGAGTTTTTTGCCCAAAACAAAAGTTGGAGGGTATAGATACCCTTTGGTGACAAGTTCAGGGGCTCTTTTGTCCCTTTTCCCAAATAAAAATATAGGAGTATTTAAATATACTCCGTATTATAATTGAAAATTTTAAGTGTTACGAGTAATAAATGTTTTGATGGACAAGAATAGGCAGGCAGCTCCACCATGGTTGCCGTCTGAGTATCTTCTTTCGCCCTTTGTTATACGGAGTAATAATAAACCATGATAATGATGATGGCAACAAAGCTGTTGATGCTCTCTCCTCCTCCATATCACGCTTCTGATACTACCCACCACCACCCATGGCCGCCGCTAGGCCGAGTTCCTGCATCTCATCTGGCGACAAAGAGAAGAACCCACAAGAAGAGCCTGATTAGAGTAGTCAGTCTATCATCCCTTGAGCACCTCATCAATGCCGCACCTCCTCATATTGTTGACCTTCCCCAGCTGCAGAATGACGGCCCCTCCTATTTCTTCCTGCTCGCGGCGGCGGCGGCGGCGGCGGAGGAAGGCGGCGGGTACTCCTTGGCCAGTTACTACACCTCGTTGGGCCTCTTTGTCATCTCTGTTCCGGGTGTCTGGTCTCTCATTAAACGATCGGTTAAATCCAAGGTGAGAATGAATTGGGAAACTAGTGGATTTTAAGGCTGGGATGTATTGATTAGCTGGTGATCCGTGTGGCAGATTGTGAAGAAGACGTTCGTGACAGGGGAGGAGGGGAAGAAGGCCGCGAAGAGAGTGGCGGGGGAGATTCAGGCGTTCTTCACTCGCAACAATTTTGTGGTGTTGAACAGAGGCGAGACCATCACGTAAGTGTATGCTTACCCACGGCCACCACCACCACCCAATTGCTCTATCCTATCCTTCTTTTTGTTTTGAGTAGGAAAGGGAATTGCAAACCTTTTTTGCAGAAATATCTCTCTTTTTTTGACCAGACCAGACTTCCATACTTCCATAGTTATAAAATACCCAAAGATAAGACGTTTATTAGGCCAGACCAGACCAAACTAGTTCAGACCAGATCAGATCAAACCAGCAAATTTCAGTCCAAAAGAAAATGATGCAAGTTTCAGTTCTCTAACTTTATAAACACACTTTGAAAATAACGTCTTATCCATTCGTTATATGTGAAAGCAATCAACACTCTTAATCTCATATAAATGATCCAACTCAAGCAATCCTTAAGAAGTATAATTAAAGTTTGACCAAATGCAGTTAATCTCATATGTGATTAAAGTTTAATCACATATGTTTTCACTCTCATCAGCTTCACTTTTGTTTTGACTTTCAACCGTGCTTTCACCTTTGTTTTTACCCTCCCACTAAACTGACATGGGTGCCCTGCACTAGTTTATGACCATTTTTAGTCAGACACATTAAGCAATCACATATTGGGGGACCTTAGAAGTTTCAGTGCATTTAGAGAAGTTTATGGCAACCTTATTCCAATTGTTTTACTGTTTTCTGTTAAGTGTAAAGGGGATATAACTATTGTAATTTTGGTGAAATAAGGTTTGAGGGAATGATGAGTCCAAGTCGGGGACAAACGGCACTGCTGACATTCTGCACGTGCATAAGCTTAGCCAGTGTTTCCCTGGTTCTCACCATAGCCCTTCCTGGTGTAGGAAATAATTGGTTTTGGCTCACTTCTCTCGGTCCATTAGCGTAAGTCTGTTCATTTCCCTTTTTATATTATAACTTCCCCCAATCAAACTCAAACCGTTGGTTGATATGATACTCCGTACACACAATATATATATATATATATATATACACACACACACACATATATATATATATATATACACATATATATATACATATATATATATATACATATATATATATATAGAGGGCAGTTCACATCAGGAGCTCCTGAAGAGAAGTCCCGTGCGGACAAGCCCATCAGAGGGTCTTCCCGGTGGAATTTTTTGATGAAATTTTTTGAGCATGTTCTTCATCAAGTCTAGTTTGTCCATACCAAATTTCAGCTCAAAATTCGATCGGGAAGGTAGTCAAATAAATCCTGGAAAACTATGGCTCATTCTGCGCACATATAAAGTGCAGTATGTTTCCAGGATTTATTTTACTGCCTTCCCGATCGAATTTTGAGCTGAAATTTGGTATGGACAAACTAGACTTGATGAGGAACATGCTCAAAAATTTTCATCAAAAAATTCTACCGGGAAGACCCTCTGATGGGCTTGTCCGCACGGGGCTTCTCTTCAGGAGCTCCTGATAGGAACGGGACTCATATATATATATATATATATATATATATATATATATATATATATATATAGGGAGTGGTTCTAATGAGAACAACTCTTATTGTGAGAAATGAGAACATATCTTAACCTTCCATCTTAATGAATAAACGGATGAAATTTGTGGCATACACCTAATTTTGGTGTGGATGTGCGTATAAGATCAAATCCATTATTAAAGGGTGCAACGTTGATAAGATAAAAAGGGTACGATTGTAATTGTTCAATTTTTTTAATGATCACAAGGTAATGCAGTGCGGTTCCCACTTTCTCAAAATATCCGAAATCTATGCACAGTTAGAAGCACTCAACAAAATAACGTTTTTTTAATATGGAAAGCACTAGATTGTAGCAATATATTGCATTATTTTTTTGTGCAAAAAGTGCATTGGAAAACCGAGGATGAGTTCATTGCAAGAATAACATGTGAACAAGTATCAAATGCACAATCACCACTGTCTAATGCAAATTAAAAAATTACACGTAGTTTGCATGTGACACACAAGAAACATGTGAAAATAAATCACAACAGCTACATAACATACAAGAACGAGTATCTATCGCACAACTACAAATGTCTAATGCACATAGTTCGTATGTAGGCACCATAACAAGTATCTTGAGCAGTATCTAATGCACAAGTATCTTGAGCAGTATCTAATGCCCAACAATTAAGAATTAACATCTAGCATGTAATTAAGAACTTTATTCAATTTAAATTAGTAAGTACCACACCAGAATCAATATCTAATGCATAATACGTTTTTACGCTCAAGAATCAACATGTAACACATAATATGTATGCAATACATAAAAATATATATCTAACACACAACCATGAATATCCAATGCACATGAACTAGTATCTAACTCATAGTTCGTATTCAACACAAAAATGGAAAAAAGTGATAAATTTAGATGCATTAGGAATATATGGTTGTGCAAATAAAAAAATTAAAAAAAATAGGAAGTGATAATAATAATCCAAATGTTGCTACAAAGTAAAATAATATATTTGATTATAAAACATGCCATTGGTGCAGCACGTGAAATACTGAAATTAATGTACAATAACATATGTAAAGTGTATTGCAAACAAAATTATTTTTAGAAGGAACAAAATGCATAAATATAATTCTATTATAGTATAGTAACAGATATTGTGTATGTTCACTCATAATATGTTTCACCAGTTCGATCGTGCTATCTTATTATATTATTAATATTATAAGATATAGAAGATCACCTAATAATAATAATGATGCTTCCACAAAAACGGAAATCATTATTACGGATGGAGACAAACTTAATTACCATAAAAACGGACTTGGATTGATTACTAAACTGCCCTCACGTAAAAGTTAGATCTAAGGAAACAAAGACTTGATATCAATGGTTAGGATTTGTTCTCATTTCTCACGTTAAGGCTTGTTCTCATTTGAACCAAAATCTATATATATATATATATATATATATATATATATATATATATATATATATACCGGCACGGGTATCTCAGTTGATAGAGTGGTGAGAAATTTGGATCAATGGACCAAGGTTCGAATCTCGCAGCGACACCGTGTGAAGGTCACAGAACCTCTATGGCTGGGCCCGTGACTCGCACGGGTATATGGGGTATATGGGCTTACTGCCACTCCGCTGACTGAGTCACCGTGATTTACATCCTCCCATCTGCCCTGTCGGGTCGGGGCGTGGGGGCTTCGGGGGTGGGAGATTCCACCTTTTTGGATCAATATATACTATATATCCTTTAATTGTGACTGATTCAGAACCGGTTAAACAAACAGGGGGGTATACTACTGGACTCGAGCAACGAGGAAAGAGGAGATGAAGGTGAGAATGACGGTTGATGATGATGCTCATGGAACACTGTCTGAGCTAATTGTTGAGGGAGATGATGTACTGGTTGAGCAAATAAGGAAGGAACTGGGTTTGTCTGAGAAAGGCATGGTTTACGTTAAAGGCTTGTTTGAGAGATGATTCTTTTTTCTTTCTTTAATTTCTTTTCTTCTATTGTTACTCATTTTCCACTAAATGCACACCATCACATGTATGCGTAGTGCATGTAACTAATTAAAGCAGGCATGGAGTATGTTTGGGAGAGTAAATTTTACTGAAATGTGCATAACGGGACATGATTTGTTAAATTTATGAATTATTCCATTTGTTCTTGTTCAGCCATTTCGATATCCCAAAAAAAATATGCACTACTTTTGGCGTGTACACCCAAGACGGTTTAGATTATGTTCGAGATGACATTTTCCCTGAAACAAGTGCTTCTTAGATGAAAATAAAAATACTCGTATACTTCCAAAAAATCCTTTGGCACTTTGGCAGTAAAAAGGAATACTGTTTAACAGTACAAGGGAGTATTTTTTCTTATTTAAAAAACAAACGTTTTGTTACAAAGTAAGTACTTCAAACGCTAAAATGCATTGTACAGCATGAACACCACGTTTTCTCCTAAATGTATTCTCTATTCCCTCGGTTGGTGACTTTGCCATCAAATTAGATATATAGTTTGTATAAAATTTAGAATATTTTCACTTGGACTGAAATCTTATGATTTGATATGAACTGATATACGATAGTAGTTAATACGGAGTACATTTTATATTTTTATGTATATATTAAATTAAATTATTGTTTAAGTCATTGGTCTAGTCTGATGAAGACATGAAGTGTGGACAGAGTTTGAAATCAGTCTAGTTGAAAACATCCTAACCGCACACTATTTTCCCTACAATCTATTAGTCATTTCAATTGCAGTTAAATAAGTTTGAGTTTCCTAGAAAATTTAGTTGATGAAATCAAACTGAATGGAGGATAGTATTAAACATGGTGATTTCTTTTTCTTCACTTGATGAGAATCGAGGGGCAGAAATGCCATAAGTTTACTTGAGTACACACAGATAAGATAGTAGATAGATTGGCCACCTTTTTAATAGGAGGCAGTGAAGTGCCATGTCTGGGAGAGAGGTGGGATACTGGAATGTGTACTTTTTTTTATCATCATAGGTAATAGAGTCAAAAGAAAAACAACGCAGCCTAGCCACACACACATCCATTCCTGCAAAACTGCTCATTTCGAAAAATGGCCTCCCTGCCAATATGTACAAAAACTGTCTGTTATTACAAATTTGAATCAATTATGTGCAATGAATGGTTCATGAGCAGCTGAAGGGAATGCTATAGATTTGACAAAAGGTCCTTTATAGGTGATGAGGATGATGATATGTGTAGCTACCTTTCATTGTTATCTTAAAGATGGAATTTATGTACTTGGTAGTGGGTACAAATCACAAATAGTGATATAAATGATTACACATGCCAAGTTGAGAAAGGACAAATTTTGGAAAGGGTAGAATGTTAATGGGTGTTGTGGACATAATTGTGTAATTAACTAAAAAAAGAAGTGTGACTTATAAAATGGTGTATAATACAGAGGAATGGGTGTGGGAATTGGAAATTGGAATTCCTAAAAAAAAAAAATCAAACCCTTGGAAATTTCAATTCTAAAGAAAAATGGACATCCAACCTACAAAATTTGCCTATAACAGATATTCTTCAAGTACATGATAATAGATGAATCCCAACTTACCAGTGCTCCAACTTTCCAAAAAAAATGACATGGCATTCTACATTATAGTTGCCAATCTATAGGGGATTGCCCCATATCCTCCATAAGCTTGTTTGTCTGCGAAAAATGCCTACGCAAATATAGAAGAAATTTTCAAACAGAAAATGGAACGTGAAGAAAGGTAGATGCTGAAGATATCAAAATTTAATACAAGGATGCAGTAAAACGAGTGACAACGTGCATACACAAAAACAGTGTCAACTGATAAAATTAAGCATATTAACAATACCTTTTTGCAGGGGGTCCATTTTTCTTTCTTTTTCTCCCAAAAATCATACTCCGTACATAATTTTGGCCTTATGTTAGCCAGAAGAGGATAGTTTTTGTGCATACTTAGTAACTATCACTTCCAAAGACAATGAAAATTAAAATACTACACATTCTAAAAATTAGCAAATCACAGTTTTTTACATGTAGTAAAATATTTGTCTGTGATTGTGTAACAGAGTGTACTACAAAAATATACAAAATAATATACTCCTTATAAACCAAAAGTATTCAAATACCACTTCTAAAAAATTATGTGAAGTTATGCATCCATGATACCCAAGAACAGCCAATTCATTGTCCGCCTTTGTGTGAACTTTTTCTCAGGAAATTAATGCAAAACAAGAGAGTATAAACCAGTAAATGCAGAAGTAAGCATGGGGAACATAAATAGAAACTAGTGCTGTTAAAATCTAAATGCATGATATAAAATATTAAGAGTGGAGCTAAATATGATCGAAAGAGAATGGCGTAGAAGCTCTAAGTTTATTGATGATCCTTTGTGTGTATTAATACACATTACAAATAAGAGTGATAGGAGAGAGAATAAAAATAATAGAGTATGGGGCATGCAAATGAATGCACCCACGTAACATGGTCTCTAGTTGGTGATGTATACATGCATGTGCATGTACGCACCTAATAATACACTAGCAGTACAACTAATATTTAAATAATTCTCAATACTCCCCCTCAAGGTGGAGTGTGAAGGTTACGAACACCCAACTTGCTACGGAGAAACTGGAAGCGATCAGTACCAAGTGCCTTTGTGAAAATATCAGCAATCTGATGTGTGGTAGATATACAACATGGTTGAATTTCCCCACTAGCAACACGCTCTCGAACAAAGTAACAGTCCATTTCTACATGCTTGGTGCGCTCATGAAAAACAGGATTAAGAGCAATGTGACGTGCTGCTTGATTGTCACAAAAGAGGGACGTAGGACTAGTCTGAGGAATTGTAAGGTCGTGAAGTAACCATCGTAACCACAGGATTTCACTGACAGTGACAGCCATGGCACGGTATTCGGCTTCAGCAGAAGATCGTGAAACAACTGACTGCTTCTTTGTTCGCCAAGACACTGGTGAATTTCCGAGAGTGATAAAGTATCCAGTGCAAGAGCGTCGAGTGTAGGGGCACCCTGCCCAATCTGCATCACAATAACCGTTTAAGGTGAAATCAGTGTCTGCAGATAAGAAAATCCCTTGTCCTGGGGTCTGTTTTAAATAGCGAAGAACACGCATGGCAGCATCAAAATGAGTTTGACGTGGCTGACTGAGAAACTGGCTGAGCTGACTGACAGAGTAGACGATGTCAGGACGAGTAACTGTAAGGTATAATAGACGTCCAATCAGTCGACGATATGAAGAAGCTTCTACAGGTGGGCTATTATCATCTGGTCTTAGTTTCAAGTTTTGCTCCATGGGAAATAGACTCGGCCGACCGGCTAAGAAACCACTCTCTTCCAGAATGTCAAGCGTGTATTTGCGTTGGCTTAGTACAAATCCTTCGGGAGAACGAGCAACCTCAATTCCGAGAAAATATTTTAGAGTACCCAAGTCCTTGATGCTAAACTGAGCATCCAAGTGTTCCTTAACTTTTTGGATGTGAGACACATCGTTTCCGGCAAGAATGACATCATCTACATAGATAAGAGCGAAAGTGCGCGTCTGTCCTTGTTGAAAAATGAACAGGGAATGATCTGCTCGAGATTGACAAAATCCAACTCGGAGAAGCGATTGGGTAAATTTGTGATACCAATTTCGTGATGCTTGTCGTAACCCATAAAGAGATTTTTGTAATTTGCAAACACGAGTATCTCCATCTTTGTTAAATCCTTCGGGAACACGCATGTATACATCCTCAGAAAGGTCTCCATGAAGGAATGCATTATTAACATCTAATTGATGTACTACCCAATTGCGCTTGGCCGCAACAGCCAACAAACACCGTACTGTGACAAGTTTGGCAACGGGTGCAAATGTCTCATGAAAATCAATCCCTTCTACTTGTGTGAAACCCTTGGCAACTAATCTTGCCTTGTAGCGCTCCACATCACCATTGGGCTTATACTTGATTTTATAGACCCATTTAGAATCAACCACCTTCTTTCCGGGTGGTAGTTTGACTAAGGTCCATGTACCATTTTCTTCTAAAGCACGAATCTCCTTTTGCATAGCCTCTCGCCATACAGGATCTTGAACTGCCTGTGAGAATTGTTTTGGCTCATCACGACAACTAATGGCTGCCAAAAAAACTTTATGTTTAGTAGAAAATCTGTCATAACTAATAAAATTGGAAATTGGATATAAAGTTGTGTCCATTGGGTTTTCTGTCGTATTAGAGTGATATAGGGATGGTGGCAGATCAGTGTCGAATCCTGCAAAATGTTTTGGAATTCGGCGCATTCTATTACTCCTCCTTATCTCACCCCTGGAATGTATGGGCACCCTTGAATCTGTCAAGTCAAGTGAAATATCAATTGGTGGGGATTCCAAATTGTGTGGTGCCATATTATTGCCATGTGAGGGGTGGTGTTGGCCGGATGGTGCACCTTGACAGAAAGTGGACCCAACCTCATGTGTATCCAAATTTTCATCAGTATCATGGTGCTCGATGGAAGGCGTTTGGCAGATTGTTGACACGCCACTTTCTTCTATTCTGTCCTCACTTTCACATCTTACCCGTCGGTTAGGAGTGCTGCAGTCTTGTGGAGGGAGATATGGTACAGGCTGTTGAAGCGGTTCCGGAGGAGGTCGGTGGCCGCAGACGATGTCCAGGTCGTTGTTTACTGGAGATGGGTTCCCACGTTGTGGCGCGGCAGAGGAGCGTACAGTTTCTTCTTCGCCGGGGAAGTGTGATCGGCGGTGAGTATTATTGTTTATCGGCGGCGAGTATGATTGCTTATCGGCAGTGAAATTCTCATGCCGCTGCTTAGTCAAAGAACGTGGTTGCAGATCCTTGGAGACTTTGTGATTATTGTTGGGGCCCATTGATAATAAGTTTCCAAGCTCATGTCCAAATGACAGTCTGGTAGGCTCTGACGGCATGCCACTTTGGTCCACTATACTTTTATATGCACGTTCCACAATAGAGCAAAAGTCCAATCCTTCATGCTCAAAATTTTTAAATGGAAATTCATGTTCAAAGAAAGTGACGTCTCGGGAACTGTAAATATCATGTCTTTGCAAATCAAAAACTCTATACGCCTTTTGACCATGCGGATATCCAAGAAAAATACAAGGACTCCCCCTTTCACTGAACTTATCTTTACGTTTGTTGTTATGTGCATATACTAAACAACCAAAAACACGTAAATGTTCATAATTGGGCTCCTTCCCAAACAACATTTCATAAGGGCTTTTATTTAAAATGACGTGTGACGGTAACCGGTTGATTATATAAACAGCGGTGAGAATACATTCTCCCCAAAAATCAATAGGTAACCCGGACTGAAAACGAAGGGCCCTTGCAACTTCTAAAATGTGTCTGTGTTTGCGCTCAACAACTCCATTTTGTTGAGGAGTATCTGTGCAGGACGTTTCCAAAATAATTCCTTGACGTTTATAATATTCAGATAGAAGATTGGTTTGAAATTCCATTCCATTATCTGAACGTATGCGTTTAACTCGCTTGTCAAATTGATTTTCTATCATGTTGCAAAATTCTATCAATTTCTGACAAACTTCAGATTTATTTTTCATGAGATAGACCCAAACACCTCTAGTGAAATCATCAACAATAGACAAAAAATAGCGTGCTCCTGATGTAGAATCACATCTATAACCTCCCCATATATCACAATGTATTAACTCAAAACAGCAAGTGGTCTTACTTGTACTTTTGGGAAAAGAGAGGCGAGTTTGTTTGGCTCGCAAACAGGGATCACAAAAATTACTGTTGTGTTGGAAGCCTTTAAGAAAAGTGATGTGTTGTAATTTTCCATCTGAAGCATGTCCTAAACGTTGGTGCCATAAATTGGTATTAAGAACTGCCGACATTGCCGCCCCTTTACCTTCTGGTGATTCTTGGTAATACAGACCATTATCGAATCTTCCCATACCGATTAGCTTTCTTGAGGCTAAGTCTTGTAATCTACAAAAGTTGGAGAAAAATGTCAGTGTACAATTGAGGTCGCTAGTGAGACGACTTGCGGAAAGCAAATTGCATTGAAACTGTGGAACATATAAAACTCGCCGAAGATGGAATCCATTAGATAAATTTAGACTACCAACGGCAGAAACAGGAACTGAATCGCCATTAGGGATTCTAACTGCCGGTACAGATGGGTGAGTTAGAACATTGAACATATCATTGCCATCACATGTGATATGCTCACTTGCTCCAGAATCAATTATCCACGAACGAGTGTGAAGCGGAGTTCTTGCCATTTTGACTTCAGTATTGAGATCAAATCTCTAAACAGAATCAGAATTCTTGTTTCCAGGTTTTTGGCTCTGCTACCATGTTAAAATCTAAATGCATGATATAAAATATTAAGAGTGGAGCTAAATATGATCGAAAGAGAATGGCGTAGAAGCTCTAAGTTTATTGATGATCCTTTGTGTGTATTAATACACATTACAAATAAGAGTGATAGGAGAGAGAATAAAAATAATAGAGTATGGGGCATGCAAATGAATGCACCCACGTAACATGGTCTCTAGTTGGTGATGTATACATGCATGTGCATGTACGCACCTAATAATACACTAGCAGTACAACTAATATTTAAATAATTCTCAATAAGTGCACTTCTTCATATTCCTTTTAGCATGGGGAACGATAAACAATATAAGTAAGCAGGACAAGCAAAACAGAAGGATACAGAGTATAAACCAGTAAATGCAGAAGACGCTTAGCGAACATAAATTTGTTGTAGTTTGACAGACCTGCATCCAAAGAAGCCTCTGTTTGCTGACAAACCAGAAGGATGTGCCGATTTCAGCACATGATGCTTGGTTTCATCAATTAGCCTGTACGAGAATCTATATTATTACGAGTAATAATTTTTTATTCCAATGATGTATCAGAGTAATTAGTTTATTCTAGACCATGAAGTTTAACAAGGAGAAAGCAGTGCTCTGGCATCAAACCAACCTAAATATTTCAATCATATAAGCTTTGTTTGAAGCATATAAACCTAGACAGATCAATTATGTAAATTTCGTTCAAAGCTAATGTAAATATAAATTTGTTACTTGCAAGAGTTCACCAGAGCTAATGGAATGTCAGGTTTTAGTTTCTTTAGTTCAAAGAAATTTTCATCCTAAGACAAAAGTATTTCATGTAACAAATAGCTTCGCTTAATAGCTTTACTAGTAGTTCGCCATCATATATTTCACGTCAGTAAACGAAAAAAAGAGGCACATTCAGAGACACCCTTGAGGCCTTGATTAATAAAGTTATAACTTGATCCAACTGTAGCTTGTCGCATGATATATACCTGCCTTTTGCTTGGGCATAGTTTCCCCAAAGAAGGAAGACAACTCCTTTTTTCTTCTGAGAAATTGCTCTTATTACAGCATCAGTATATTGCTCCCAACCTTTGTTTGAATGGGAATTCGCTTGATGATGCCTTACTGATAATGTCAAGAATATAGGCCAATGAGAAGAACAGAACAAGTGATACACAAACACATGACCAGTAGGCTGTTGATTTGATTCATCAAAGATTGGAACAATCACACTATTAGGATCCGCTTCTCAGTCAGTGCTCATCAGTGTTGAAGAGCAGTCAGATGGGCAGGATTGAATTGATTTTAGTTAATTCATTACTTTCCTTGTTTTAATTGAACTAGTTATTAGTCTAGATCTATTTCCTATTATTGCTTTAGCCTTTAGTAATCTTATCCTTTGCCTGTATAAGCTTATTAGTTGGAACTTGGAATAACATATTTAGCTTTAGGAATCAAGTGAAGCAAAAGTCAGAAAATGAAAGGACATCTTTTACACTTTACTACTCCCTCCGTCCCGCTATGATTGTCCCATTTTACCATTTCAGTTCGTCCCACTAAGATTGTCCCATACCTTATTTGGTAAAGTTTGTGTGGTTCTAAATCATTCCTACTTTATTCTTACTTTATCAATTCAATACCAACCACATAAACCCACTTTTATTAATAACCGTGCCACCTTCTCTTGTCCCAAACTTAGGGGGACGGGGGTAGTATGTTTTATTATATTGGTTTCTAAATGGACAACTATTAAACAAAGTTTCATCCTAAAAGTTTGACCTCAGAGAAGGGGTAGTTCGAAGTCTTATATGATTTATTATCAGGCTTTGCGAAATGGCTGCTCATTGGAGCAGAACAGTCCTGAATGGCAAGTGATCAAAAGTCGGACCAAGTTACTTATTCGAGTCTTATTCGAATCTTATAGATCATGGTCTTAAATGGCTTAAACTAAAACTGTATTTTCTAAATGGAAGGTTACTTAAGAACGAAGGGAGTACTGAAACAGAAGGATTCACTTTTATATTCCTCGCTGAAGTTCAATGACAATTAAATCAGACTAGACTGGTTTAGTTTGATTTAAATCATGTGCTCTGTGCATGCAATCACAATAGGATGCTTTCTGGTTGAAGGGAGTACTGTGTTTAATACATAATGACATTCTTTAGTAAATGAATTGTCATCCTTTAGCATTCTGAACTTCATCAACTGTTTTATGTGCCAGATAAGGACATGGAAAAATAGCCTAGAGAGGGTTTCAGTGTGAGAACAATAATAAAAAACTTTACCAGTAAGAACAGCATTGAGAAGCAGAACACCCTGCAAATAAGTAAGAGGTAACTCAATTCAAGTATTTCAGATGAAAATGTAAGCTTGAATTCATTTGTCGTAAAGTTATAGAAAAAATGAGACCGAAGTGTCATTCAGAAGTCATGCACGTAAAATGGCACGATTTCAGAGCCAACCAAAACAATGAGATGAAAAATGCCTAAGAAAGTCGTGACTTGAGTTTACCTGTATTGCCCACTTCTCCAAATTTCCATGAGAAGGGATTGAACAACCCAAGTCTTTATTGAGCTCCTTATAAATATTAACCAGGCTTGAAGGAACTTTTACACCCTCGGGCACTGAGAAAGAGAGGCCCATTGCTTGACCAGGCCCATGATATGGATCCTGGCATTGCAGTTTCCAGTAGAAAAAATTGTAAACATATTTACAAATCGATCAACTCGGCAAAAACTATCAGAAGTTCAGAACAGAGAGGCTGAATGAAAGAGAGGCTGAATGAACTGGATGGTATATAAAAATATAATCATTTACTTTCATGAGATGGTGTCTGTCACAAAATTTGAAGCGGCACCAACTGTTGGAGATATTTTTGTTTATAAATACCTTTTTCACTTAAAAGTGGAAAACCAAATGGAGTCTCTTGTTGTTTTCAGTTTATTAGAAAAGATCTTTTTACATTAAGAAACACAGAATTATACATTTTATACCTGTCCAATGATGACAGCTTTAACCTTGTCAATAGAGGTAGTGTTAAGAGCATTGAAAATCAAGTGCTGAGGAGGATAAACCGGCACACTACTATTGCGAATTTCACTCTCCACAAACTTACACAAGTTTTTAGCATATGGTTTTTCAAACTCCTCTGGCAATGCTTGCAGCCATGACCCCTCCACCAACAATTCCTTCAACTTCACATACTGAGAGCCCTCACCTGTCACACAATTTTCTTCCTTGAATTCCATCACCGTTTAAAATAATAAATGAGTACATAAATTGGTGGTGAGTAATGCTAAGTGAGTAATGTGGAAAAGAGCTTCAAGGAGTAAATCTTATTTGCGACAAGACAAAAAATGACAGCTTTAGAATTACATTGAAAGTTTCAATTGAATAGATTTGTTTTCAAATTCAATCAAAAGTTACCTCAGTGGGATTTTTCCAACTTTTCTCTTTAGTACCCCAAACTATGGCAAGAAGTATGCAAATTAAACGTGTGGACAATTGGTCTAGATGTGAACTGTAAAGTCGAAATTTTAAAAGGTTTTTTTTTGTGGGGGCGGGGGGGGGGGGCGGGGGCTAGAAATGAGATACTGTACAAAGCAAAACAGGTGGCTAGTGAGGCGGTTGAATTTTATTTTATTTCATTTTTTAAGTATTCATTTTATTTTATTAAAAGACCATTGGCTGTTTATACAACAAAAAAAACCATTGGCTGTTTTTAAGCTATTTCACTTTTTTTTGTTAATAAAGTGCCGAGCACCTCATCTTCTTTGCCTCAAAGATGAACAATCACAACGCGAGAGTAAATAATCATCATATAAGCTTCGGATCAATTCATGAACACTGAACGCAGGTTTTCTCTATAAGCATATGGTCATACATTGAAAGATCATAATAGTCGTGTAGGATGACCTTCAGATATTGAACAAGAGACTTTCTCAGCACAGAGTTTGAGATTGAATTTAGCCTTGGCTAGGGATTTGTTGAACTCCATTCTAAAATTCTGTGCAGGCGTGAGTGTTTCTGTTTGCTGGACGACGCCGTTGTCTCCGGCTTGGGGCTCCTTTGGGGACGGCGTAGCAGAAGAGGAGAAGCTACTGACGGGGACAACGGCGGGAGATGGCGGTGGTGAGGAGACCCGTTTAAGGCGCTTCGCTGATGGTTGCTTCAATAGATCCATAATAGTTTTTCCGGATGAAGATGCCATTCTTTACACAAGATTCAACCTTTTTAGCTCTCTACTGTGTAGGATCGTAGACCTTACGAAGATAATACTCCGTAGATACGAAGTATTTAGCAAATGGCGCCTCAACTGAGAAGGGCAATGTTTTATGGCGGGAAAGAAAAGCATCATATCATATCATGAGAAAAAGGTAGATAAATTCTGGAACTATTTGTGATTTGTAATCAAATTCCTAAACGGAAAGACTTGCAAATACGAGAAAATTAAGCAATCAGATCCTTTGCTACTTGTCAGTGCTAATGGGAGGTGAGAAATTACTGGAATCAACGGGTAAAAAGATTCAGATTATTTAAGTTTCATTTAATTGATAGTGTATCTACAAGTCTTTCAGTTTAGGGACCTGATTGCAAAATCGTAAATAGTTCGGGAACTTATTTGCCTCTTTTCTCATAAAAAAGAATCGTTGTTGATGCATATTTGTAGACTATCTTAGTAATTACACTCTTTTGGCGTACACGGTACACCATTTATAGACTATCTTAGTAATTGCATTATTTATTACTCCGTATGAATTGCTTTCGTAAACCCACAACAAATGTGGGTATACAAATCGTGTACCTCAAAAGGGTGTATCAATAGAAAGTTCCAAAAAAAAAAACTATAGTGTACCTCAAAAGGGTGTATCAATAGTTTATAGGACTCATAAACTATTCATGGTTCATGCATGCCATGTAGCTAGTGTGCAACTTTTCTTTATTTTATAAATAATAACTAAAATAATATTCCTTCTAACCCTTAAAACTTTGTTCTTTAGTTGTCTTACAAATTTTGTCACTTTCTCTTTTTAATAAAAAATTGCGCTTCTAGTTAATTCTCTCTCCTTTGCACAAAATTCAACATCGTTCTTACTTTATTAATCCTCGTTTTGATCAAACTTGACAAAGTTTTAAGAAACGGAGGGGTATAAAGATGATGACACAAATAATAGTTCAAGGATTCTTGTGAACAAAATAAGAGTATGTTTTAAAATGGGCAAAAATGGATTGAAATGCCCTTAAGCGCATTACTTCATCTCCATCAAACACGTCTCTCACAGTTCTATATCTCATTTGCCATCGACTCTGTCTCCTTATCCTTCGATCAAAACATCGTCATCAACTGTCGTCAACAGTTGTCTCTCTCATCATTCACCTTACCGTCTTCCTCGTCATTTCTGCCTTTTATGTTCAATTTCGGGGATACAAACAGCCACGTCTGTAACCATCATATCCGACGGTGGCGCATATGGTTGACTAGACTGTCAGGCTGTGACGGCGCTGGGTGAGTTGCAAGAGGAGGTGTGGTGGCTGGGGCCTGGGGCAAGGGATTAGCCGCATTCGCCGTCGTCCATTCATGTCGCAGTTGTCGTCGCCCATTCATGTCGCAGTCGTCGTCCTTTCACGCCGTAGTTGCCATGGTCCTTTTATGTTGCAATCATCATTGCCGTACCCCATGCTTCTATTTCTTCTTATTAGCTTTGTATGCTCAAATCTGGCTACCCTGTGGAAGTTGGAGCCCTCAGCTATATGGCCGAAGGCACCTATATGTGCACCGTGGTCTTCTTCATACTTGGGCCGCTACATTAGGACTTTGTGTGCACAGTGGGCTTGATGGGCCTGTGTAGGAGAAGTAGGAGTCTGTGGGCTGGGGGTCCCTGGGTCATATACTCCATCAACATATAACCATTTTGGAAAAAGATACAAATGGGATGTCACCGAGACAAATAAAGCGTGCACACAAATGTATGAGCGTGTACACGAAACACCATTTTTAAATATAAAAGAGCGGGATTTTATATTAATATCGAGAAAGCATACAAGACAATCTTCAGACAATTATGACAAAGTCAATTGTAAGCCCTATGAATAGACATAACATCAGCTACCTCATACAAAACAACATGATTCGCTAGACACGACACGAGCAAATTTAATCAAAAAACAACCGGATCTGAAACACTGCCTATCAAAAGTACTCCAGAAATCCGAATATCTTTACGAAACCTACTCGAAGTAAAATAAAAATAAGTACCATTAAAGAAAAAAATGAAATAAAGCTTTTCCACAATACTCTTCCTGGCATGGATGTGGTTGGAGGAAGACGAGATCTACCATTATCTACGCAACCCAAAAGAAAGCAGCCAGAAATCCCTGACCAGACAAAGCCCATCGGAACACCAAAACAACTCCACACATTGAGGGAGACAAAATAATCCAGAGCGCCAGTGCTCGGAAAGAGCTGCCACAACACAGAACAAACACAACCAGAAAAGAAGAAAAGTCAAGTTGAGTGATACCCCTACTAAGAATCTCCACAACCTAGAAAAACACATGAAATCTGCTACCTGCTTGGATGTATCGCCAGTGCTCTTATTGCTTTATATGGATCTGGAGGCTGAACGACGATTGTACTCTTGGATGCGGCGTCCATGCTTTGCACAAATACCCCAGGAGAGGCGCCGCGTGGATAATTTCTTCTTCGTTCAAATGTTTTTTTACACGAAAACAAATTTGAAAACGTATAATGATATAAAATTTATCTTTTTACATTTTTTGTACACTCTTCTATGTACGTAGACAATTAATACAAAATTGTCTATGTACACAAATAATTTGTAAGAAAATTATCTATGCACAAAGATAATTGTTCTTTTTGTTCATTTTCATACATATTATATATGTACACAAGCATGTTTATAGAAAGTGTAGGGATGTTTTTAATTGGATTTAAATTCTTCTGGGTTGGTCTGACCATGTCTGTTCCAATGTGTTCATATCTGGTCTGATCTGAACTGGTCTAGTCTGAGCTTGTCCGATCTGGTAAATGTATAATGTATTTATATTTTACAATCGTCAAAGTTGTTATGATCTTATTTATTTAAATCTGATGTGATGTGTTTCATATAGTCTGCTCTGTTCTGATTTGGAGTGATGTATATTGATTTGGAGTGGAAAAAAAACTGATTTGGAGTGAAAACATGTTTTCAAACCACCCTAAGTCAAAAAAAAATTACGGAGTACTAAGTAAAAACATCTAACTATCTAAGTAGACCGAGGAGGACTCTGGGTCTGTTTGCAACAACTTCTGCTTTAAAAAAGTGCTTTTTTTAATGAAATGGAGAGAAGTGATTAAATAAAAGTTGATAGTGTTTGAGAAAAAAGGGGATAAGGGTCAGTTTGGTCCCCGAAGTTGCAAAAAAGGGGTCAAATAAGTCCTTATATAGAAATTTCTGTCCGGACGTGCCATTTGAGGTGGCTCCCGGTGAAATTTTTTGATGAAATTTTTTGAGCATCTTATTCATTAAGTCTAGTTTACTCATACCAAATTTCAGATAAAAATTCAATCGGGAAGACATTCAAATGAATTCTTGAAGATAACTGTGCTGTTAAAAGCGCTGTTATCTTCAAGAATTCATTTGAATGTCTTCCCGATTGAATTTTTAGGTGAAATTTGGTACGAGTGAACTAGATTTAATGAATAAGATGCTCAAAAAAAATTATCACAAAATTCCACCGGGAGCCACCTCAAATGGCACGTCCGAACAGAATCTTCTATATAAGGACTTATTTGACGTCTTTTTTGCAACTTCGAGGACTAAACTGACCCTTTACTCGAGAAAAAAGTGATTTTGAAAAGTAAAAGTTGATAGTGTTTGGTAAAATAAGTACTTTTTGTGTAATAGAAAAAGTAAAAGCACTTTTGACACGAAAGCCGAGAAAAATAAAAGTTGTAGTGTTTGGTAAAAGAAGTGCTTTTATAAAGCCAAAAGCTGAGAAGTGCTTTTTTAAAAGTGGTTGCAAACCAACCCTCTATCGAAGTTGACCACAGCCCACTAAAAACATGAGAAACTCTATTTGTACACGTTCTTATACACTTGTCTTTGACAGACCATTTTTTTTTGTTGTGAACGGCTCTACAGACAAATCATGCTAGTTCACAACAAAAAAATGGTCTACAAATGTATAAACGTGTACAAAATGGTCTCCCCCTAAAAACATAGGCACAATAACATACGGAGTAATACGTATTATAAATAATAGGTCATTTCCAATTTTCCATCCTCAACTAATCTCGTGAAGACAGCAGAAAAGAACAGTTAAATAAGGAAAAAAGCGCGCTTCGACCGTCACGGAGACAGCTGGGGGGCTGCGGACTATGGATTTTGCTTACTCCACCACTACATCCGCTGCCCCCGCCACCAGGTCCGCCATCATTGACGGTGTTGTTTCTCCGGTACCTCTCCCTCACAGCCTTGATAATCTTTTTTAAACACTCGTGGAAACTGATTTCTTGTTGATTTTCATACTTTATACTCCGTATTTCTTGTTATATAATTTGATGATCGCTAACTTGCCAATACATATATACGTGTATGTTTCTGATGATAGATATGGGTCAAATTTTGATTTTTTATGTTGAAATTTATATCTTCACGTAAAGACGTAGAATCAATTTACTTTGTTGATTTTTTAACGTTAGTTAGAATTCAGTAATGATCTGGGCTGCTGCTGAAATAATATTATTTCCACGGAGAAATCCCTGTATATTTAAAGCATTTGTATCATTAAATAAGAAGAAATTTAACTTGGAAGCGTGGAAAGGAATAATTTGCCTTAAGCTTTTGTTAGTCTTAATTAACGTGGCATAGATTTCACTATCTCTCATGTATCCAACTCGAAGGTTTAGAATTGAACATGAAATGTGGTATTTGCTGCACTGACTTTATGTTCCCTTTATGAGGTTGCTTATTTTGTTAGTTCAATGGGATGCGATAATGCTCTTACTCGTTTTCAAAAGAAAAATATTTGCACTGAACTTCTGAAACATTAAGGGGTGTGCAGTATGATATTTTAGTATAATGCCGTACACTACCTATTTTGAATCTACTTACGTAATAGAGGTAACTGGGACATGAAAGTGTTTAAGATTGCCTTTTTTATACAGTTTTAGATTTTCTTGTCCTAAGTAGAGAGTTGAAATCTAAAGGATACTATGTGATTTGGATTACAAATAATTCCTAGAGATAACAAATTACTGTTTCAACTGCTATTCCAACAAGGTTTTAGGGATTAAGTAAAAGTAATATGGGATCGTTTTTCTTTTTATGGATTTTTAAGCTAAATGAATCACTGTTTCTATAGTTGATTAGACATAGTTTTTATGGGTTATCCCCTTTCGGTGCTCATCGATGAAGAAATTTATGAGTTTCAAGACACCCATGATGCATCTACTTATAATATTACTATATGAGACTATCTGCTATTAGCTTCATTCATTTTTCTTTGGCTATCTACTGTTTGAGGAACTTTTACCTAATCTAGGAGATAATCATGCATCTAATGTGAGTATGTGACACAAAAATGATTTAGAATCAAGAGATTTCTCATACATTGATTCATCAGTGCATGAAATAAACAAGATATGTAGCTGCTCTTTCATCATTTAGTTCAACAACACAAATTATTGTGTAGTAAATCACATTTGTTCTATACTATATCAACATGCATCGTTTTTCAGGGCCCACATCCTTCTCCCCGTGAAAAAAGGGAAAGGCCGTCTAGATTATTCATTTCCCACCCCATTGTGTTTATGCTTCGGCATTGGGTATGCCCTGCCACGCTGCCACATGCATCTTTTTTGCTGTTTGTTAATCAGAATCACCTCAATGTTATTTAGGATCACCTTAATAACATTAAGAAGAACTACATTATCAACACGTTGGCTTTTATTGTGTGAGGCGTGGAGGACATAACC